CATGTGGGCAATATGCAGGAAGCCGACACTGCAGGCTGGAGAATTCTCACTTGCCAGCTGACATATCACACACAGCGAGATTTGACTGGCACGTAAACTGGTGAACCCCAGGAAATATGCCAGGGGAACACAGCCTGCAGCAACAACTCGTAGGCAGCAGCGAAATTGCAAGACCTCGGGAACAGAAAGACACCCACAATAGTTAAAGAACTCACTAGCCAGGCAAACCTCAGCAAGGACCCACTGGCCGCGTGAACCCGCAAGACCGTGAGCAATGTGCCAGGGGAACAGCCGGCTGCAAAACCCTAGGCGAACGCCAGGTGTGCAATCCGCAAGACCAGGCACCAGCAGCTAGAGCCACAGCAGCTTCCTATCTTTTTTAAAAAAGTAATTTATGTATCCTTTTTTCTGGATAACAACCTGCAGTTATTTGTTAACATTTTTTAACAAGTCTCAGACACGGCTCCTGAGCTATCCCAGCCGAATCTCAAACTCCAACCCACAGATTTTCAAAGGGATTCAAGGCTAGTCCAGGCCAGTTAATAATGTTCATGTTGGTTGTCTGGGGGTAGTTCTTCAAAATGCATGTTTAGGTTTCACTCTTATAGTCCACTGGAGCACAAATTGAGTGTCATCTTTATGCTACAATACACACCATCCTAGTCTGACCCTCAGGCCGGGGTTCCATTCCTCAACTGTCGTGGCCATTTGCAAGCCATCAAACAGCATTCAGCCGTCCGCTACCCCACGGTGGTAACTTGGCTCTTGTACCTTGTGTCTCCTTGTGTTCTCTGCTAACCAATCTAGGATCGTTACTCACCTCACCTGCAGCTGCTTCCTGAATGCTGGATTTCCCTCTCTACTCACCTCAAAAGGCTTCGCTGGCTCTACTCACACACCTCCTCATTCCTGCCCTCCAGCCTGTCTCTCACATATGGATGATGCAAATGGTTGGATTACCCTCCCTGCATGAAACACTCACACGGCTATTAGGGTATTAAAAAGTACAGGGTGGGCCATTTATATGGATACACCGTAATAAAATTGGAATGGTTGGTGATATTAAAGTTCCCCCTCACATATACTCATGTGCCACAAACAGGACTTTAATATCACCAACCATTCCCATTTTATTACGGTGTATCCATATAAATGGCCCACCCTGTAGAATGATTGGTAGAGCCTTCAGGCCCCTCTTGCGTGAAACCAGTTTGGATTCAGGAGACATTCATTCTTTCTAATGTTAAGATTAGGCTTAAAACTTCCCTTTTTTATAAAGCTGGGCTGGATCAGGTGACTGAGAATCCTCCCTTAATTACACTGCAACAGGTTGCTGGGGGATTCCCAGATTGCGTGTTTCTTCTTTTTTTTTTTTTGCCTGTCCCGTTTGGCTCTTTTGCCATCAGAATTATTGTCTAAAGGCAAAGAAAGATGCCCAACGGATTTACTTTACCAAATTGACCATCCCAGCCTTGCCATAATGGTCCATTTGATTCACCTTTTATTGTTTATTTTATTTTCACTTGCTGAATACGGGACAGACTTGACTGGGGGAAAGAAGGGGAGAAAGAAAGAGTGAAAGAGAAACAGCTGAGAAGAGGGATGGGGGAGAAGGGCAAAAAACAAAAACCAACAGAATGGGCAGAAAAAAAATGCATATATCGATCACCTGGATCACCTGTTGAGAAAGAAAAAAAGAAAACAAGCAGAAGAGAACAAGAGTAATAGAATAAACAACATCACAATGATATATGGGAATATGACAGTAAATACTAAATATTAAACATTATTGTGCAGGACATAAGATCAACAGAACACAGTGTGCTTTGAGGTAGGAGCCAAAAAGGGTGTAGTTTGTGGGTGTGATCACCCGTGTGTACACCTGTGAGCATGGACGCGCTTGTTTTTAAAAGGTTCCTTCATGTAATGATCTGCTAGAGGGTGTGGGGGGGCCACAGCCCCGTCCTCCAGGGCATGAAGCAGGTATGGAGGAGATCAAAACTCCAGACATCCAGAGGCCCCCAGAACACGAGAGACCAAGGAAGACTAACAGAGGGGCAGCCGCGCCACTGTTTCAGAAAGAGCTGAGGACAGTCCCAGATGAGGGCTCACTCAGCAGCCGCGCTGTGACGCCCGTGAGCTCTGCCGGCAGCCAGCTGTGCCTGAGTGACCGAGCCCCAGGCCGAGAGGCTGGGGCCACCCCACCTCCGAAGTGGCCCGAGCGAGCCCCAGGCTCCAGGCCCCGATAAGCGGCTGCCAAGGAGTGAGCCGGTGTGTACCTGGACGCCCATCCCCAGACACAAAGAACCACCAACGCACCGATGTCTGAGGGAGTCCGCCACTGCCAGGGGAAGTGGTGGTGGGGGGAGATAGGCTTCCATACCTTGGAGGGCCTGAGATGTCCCGAGAGAGGTGGTGTCTGATACCCAACCTGACATATAGACACAGACATACAGGCACACACAGATACAAACATCCATTCCCACCCTCATGCTCTCATATACACTTACTCCACACTCAACCAACGTGGAGACAGACATAAAGAGACGCTGTACACACGATCAAACTCCCCAAGCGTACTCTACGAACCGGGTCTAGGTACCCTTGTCCCTGGAGGGGGGAACTGCACCCAGACCCAGGTGGTGTTACCCTTTTCCCTGCGGTGGGGAGAGGCAGACCACCCCGACTCCGCAGCGGCAGGGAGGCCCCACACTCCAGACTGCAGTCGGACGGTCAACTCCTCCTCCTAGCCCCCCCGCTCCAGCAGACCGCAGAGAATGGGGGTGAGAGAAGACTCCAAACCTCCCTCCACCCGCTCATTGTAGTGTTGATGCATGTGTGTTCTAAGGTGCATTTAAAACCCAGGAGGGCATGGAGCTTACCTGCCAGAGAGCACCAGGTAAGCGCATAGTCCCTCCTGCTAGTTTGCGTGTTTCTTCTTAACTCACCTTTTTGTCCACTAACTATGTGTACACCATTCTGCATTTAACCACTCTGCATTTAATCTTTAGTTAGTATTAATCTCTTCTGATTGTAGAAGATGGCTTTTCCCTAGGGATTAATAAAATATTCTGATTCTGATTATTCTGATGGCTGCCCCTCTCTCAGTCTGGTTCTGCTGGAGGTTTCTTCTTGTTAAAAGTGAGTTTTTCCTTCCCACTGTCACCAAGTGCTTGCTCAAAGGGGGTCATATGATTTTTGGGGTTTTCTACAATAAGTTTTTAGTGTATTTTTGTAGAGTTACAGTGTACCTTACAGTGTAAAGCATCTTGAGGTGTCTTTTGTTATGATTTGGTGCTATATGAACTGAACCACTGAACTGAATTAAATTCAGCTGTGTCAGAAAACATCCTAAGGATGTACAGTTAAACCAGAATTCATAATGTTTCTTTAGTAAAGATCTGTATATACTGTGGAATGCTCCTTCCCCACAAAAAAAGCTGTTGAACAGTTTCACTGATATCACAGGGTAGAATACTTTGAATCCACAGCAAATGTTTCACTTTTTCTTATAACACTTTGAAGCCTTCTCTTCTGCATTCAGGATGTTTTTAATGTTATGTAGCATTTTCAGGCTTTGCTTGGTATCATAACATCCACAAAGTGTGACAAATAAATTTGAAAAAAGACACACCTATTAATTTAAAATAAATAATTTTATACAAACACTATCTGTGGAATTCTCAGCTCTAGTTTGAATAACGGCTGCTGATTTGACAATTTCAAATATGTACTTGTATATAGTACATTCTTGCAGTACATCCCTACAAATGCAGCTCATGTAATGCAACAGTTCTACTTTACTCTAAATACCATTTATCTCTCAAAAGACAAGTTTTCTCTCAGGATTTGTCTCAGGAGATTCAGTAGAACACGATGTCTGCAAGAGACTTTCAGGGCTCTAAGAAACAATAGACTTTTCTGATTTGTCTGCTTGGTCAAACAATAAGAGCTGATCACCCGTAAAATTGCGCCTATTATTGTATCATATAGTTGATCAATTAGACAATTAATTCTATGTGTGAATGTATCTATGTATGGACTGAAACTTTAATTCTATTTTTTTTTAAATGTAGTTTTAATTATAAAGAATATATTAAAAACACAACCATATGTAGTCATTTTTTCATCAAAATAAATAGGGGTAAATAAATAGAAAAGAATAGAATAGAATAGAGTGCCTTTATTGCCACTTTACAGCTGTACAGTGAGATACAGAGCATCTCCAACTCAGTGAATAATAATATATTATATAATAATATAATATAATATTGATTATCATTATCTCCTCACATTCAGCACTGGGTGTATTGAATTTAACACATTTATAATTTTTTGATCTGAATTAAAATTGATTAATATAAATCCTGTTGAGCTTTTTGTGAATGCTTCACTTAGAATCTTACACAATTTTTTGTATTTCCTTTTTTTAAGCTTTTCAGGGTTTTTAAAAAAAAATTATTATTATCATCATTCAGAGGACAGACACTGCTTCACAATTTAATTTTTCTTTTCAAACTTTTAGAAAGACGTGATCAGAAAATGAGACATGGAAAACACTTTCACCTTAAAGACTAAAAGTGTCAAACCTTGAGGACTAGCTTGTGTTGCTGCTTTTGGCTCAAACTGCTTTAAGCTTCTTTTTTCCCAGCTGTAAATAAAAGGAAAGAGTGAGCACAGCACACGTCAATGCCTGCAGCTGTTCATTATAGAGTAGTTGCACTGGCTTGCAGTAGCCTGTATTTGACAGGTGCTGGTGTTTTGTGTCCATCCAGTGTGACGTACAGGCGGATGTGCGGGTGTGGAGGATGTGCTAAGTCTGTGTTAAGGCCTGCATTTTCAGTGTGAGTGTATCGTGTGTTTGGTATGTGTGTGTGTACGTTTGTGCGTTCTTCGTTCTCATTGGCTGCTGAAACTTGTTGGAGCCTTTTCCCCTCAAATAAGAGAAAGCGCCAAGAACCTATTGGTTCTCGCGAAAAATCGTCCATTCTCCAGTCCGCCTGGTCCGGACTTCTCCGGGAGAAAATAAACTGATGTCAGACAGAACAACTGTATACTGCGAGCACATTAGCATTTTAAGGACTCCGCTCCACAGCAGTCCCGTGTGCCTGAATGCTGTGGGCTCACATTTTAACATCCAACCGCCGTTTTCGTTTGTTTGCTTGTTTGTTTGATTTTTACTCCACGCTGGATCTGACTGCCACTTTTTATCCTCAGAACGCGTGTGACCAACAAATCAACTCTTGAATCGGACATCTAACGTGTCCATCTTTTTTCTTTTTTCTCTTGTCTTTTTTTCTTTTCTTTTCTGTTGTTTTTAATGCTACAATGTCGTCTTTGCCAGGAACGGTACCACGAATGATGCGCCCGGCTCCCGGACAGAACTATCCCCGCACTGGATTCCCTCTGGAAGGTAGGAGCTTGACAGTAGCCCTGACCAACCTCTCAGACTCCGGTAGATTTTTTGCGGAGGCTGAAAAAAATGCGAGCCTAATTTGAAGATTATTCAAACAAATATTCTGCATTAAACATTAAAGGCACGTGAGAAGACCTTCAGCGTGCTTAACAGTTAAGGCCTCAACTCCAGGGTAAACTTTGTGTGCAAGGACTGGCACTGAACACAATTGCATGAATAAAGGCAAGTGCCCCCCCCAAAAAAAAAAAAGCTCACGTTGCATTATTCTTATGCTAATACAATTTCCGTTGTATTATTCTTATGCTAAATATTAAAGGACCCGGTCACAAGCACACTTAATCATCCAGTGACCACTTTGTCAGCGAATTGAAAACGACTAGAAATTCCAGAGAAAACAGAGACAGTCTCTCCAGCACTTGGGTTGCTTCAAGTTCCGCGCGCCTGGAAATTGGCACCCACCGGCAGAAGCAGAGGATCAGTCCAACATTTGGACAGCGTGACGGCGAACAGTGAAGCGTGGCAGCAGGTGCTCTTCACCTCCTCTGCTTGGCATGTGGAACTGTGAAGTGTTAGCCCTTAATGGCGATCAAATGAGATTTGAAAACAACTGACACGTGGTACTGTCAGTGAATACTGGCAGGGAATAGCTGAAAGAACATCGGGCTCGCATTAGGTGTGATTGATAAGAAAAATAGCCTGTCATCAAACTGGATTATTTAATAACAGACAACAGTCTGCGCTTAAAGCCGCTCTGTACAGAATCTGGCCTTGTGTCATCCACAGTATCTACTCCTCTGGGCCAGGGACGGGTCAACCAGCTAGGGGGGGTCTTCATTAACGGCCGACCGTTGCCCAACCATATCCGACACAAGATAGTCGAGATGGCCCACCACGGGATCCGGCCCTGCGTCATTTCGCGCCAACTTCGTGTCTCCCACGGCTGCGTGTCCAAGATCCTCTGTCGCTACCAAGAGACCGGGTCCATCCGACCCGGCGCCATAGGTGGCAGCAAACCCCGGGTGAGAGAAACGATCTAAAGGACAACACGGATAATTGTCTGTCAATACCACTAGGCTAAATGATAAGTTAGTAATCTGTAGATTATCTGTAGGCTTCCACAGCCTTGTTATAGTTTATATTTCCACCTGCTTTCTAAAAAGTCACTCGAAAGATTTCGGGGCCTGTAGCCTGTGGCTCAGCTCACTCTCCTTGTTTCTGTGTGGCTCACGGCAACCTGCAGCAGGTAGCCACGCCGGATGTAGAGAGAAGGATTGAAGAGTACAAGCGGGACAACCCTGGCATGTTCAGCTGGGAGATCCGGGATAAGCTACTGAAGGACGGGGTGTGTGACAGAAGCACAGTCCCTTCAGGTGAGGCCTCCTCTGGTAAGCGGCGTTTAATTCACAGTTTTACTCTCTGAATTTTGCCCTCCGCGAAGAATACATAAAAACAGACTTTCAAATCAAGGAAGTTATCACGAAAAAGATATTAATATTATTAATATTATTATTATTATTATTGTTGTTGTTGTTGTTGTTGCTATCGTTGTAAATGGTAATATGGTAATAACAAAAATAATAACAGTACAATATAATAAAAATAATAATGATATAATAATAGAATAACAGTGAATTTAATATAAAAACATTCTTCTTCTTCTTCTTCTTCTTCTTCTTCTTCTTCTTCTTCTTCTTATTATTATTATTATTATTATTATTATTATTATTATTATTATGTTATTGCTAAAGATGCCTTTCTGCTCGCAGTGAGTTCGATCAGCCGTGTACTTCGCGCTCGTTTTGGGAAAAAGGAAGATGAGGATGAGTGCGATAAAAAGGAAGAGGACGGAGAAAAGAAAACGAAACACAGCATCGACGGCATCCTCGGGGACAAAGGTAGGCCCCGGGAGGACTAGCGGCTAACTGTCTGCTAATCAGGTCTAAACGGGCGTTTTGCCCCATGACTTCTCCCGCCTGGAGCCGCTTAAATATTCATGGTGAGCGGTGGCGCGGGCTCCCGTCACGCTAAACGGTGACAAATGTCCATACCGATCACAGGCGACAGGAGCCGGCCGTCAGCTCCGTGTGTGGATACCAATTTCAAGCAGAATTTTCCTCTGAAATGACATTTAGCCTACAAACAAACAAACGCTAAATAAATACATGAACCTAGCCAAAAATGGCACAATTACATATATGCATGTATTAAATTCACAACTTTTAAAATGAAAAGGCATAGTAAATATATCGTTATAGTACGATTTTAATGGAAGGTGTTAAATATCCCCTCTTCATATTTCTTTCATATACACACGTATACATGGCGGTTGGAAGCTTTTGTTTAGTTCATTTTTATTAAAGTGACGTCGATGCAGCATGTTTGAATGTAGCGTGTGGACGGCCGTCTGTTCTTTAAACTTGAGGCCTGCAGCGGGCCCAGTGCTTTCTGACCACTGGTTTCACTGGTGATTTTTTTTTTCAAACAGCTATCAAGTCTCCCCCTTTCCACATTCTTCAAAAGATCAGCCCAGCTAGTGTCTCTGTGTCATCCGAGCTTGGCATTTCATAATTTGAAGACTTAGCCTATTACAGCTGGTAATGAAACCTGCCTCTGTTGAATAGGCGTCTGTGTTGGAGAGGGGTGTAATAGCTGGAAGGCATGGTAAGAAATATATTTATCCCCTATCAGCCCTCACTCTCACAGTCCCAGGCACACGCTGTTGAAGGGCCTTAAAGCAGATTAAATTGAGCCTTTTATTTCTTTTCACTTTCATCTCTCAGTGGCTCACTTCATGGTGTGAAGCCTGCAGCATAAATTCATGAGATTGTAAGCTTTCCGCTCCCCTTGTTTAGATAGTATTTTTTAAATATATATATAATTATTTTAATTTTAATGTTTACTTTTGGTGGTGTGCTGTACATATTTCAGCAGGAGTCAGAGGGAATTTTAGGTTGAATGGAAGAGGCAGTAGTGATTAAGACAAACTCATTGAAGGGTACTGTTTACCAGTTTTATTTGATCAATTATAAGAGATGATTTTTTTATTTACATGATATGTGAGCACTGATTACAGCAAGCTAAAAACGCCATAAAATGAGAAAGCCTAATTTGAAATAACCTTTAAAAGTAACACACACACACGAACACGTGATAGTCTGACATTTACATATAACTGATATATGACAAACTTACTGTTAATCTTCAGTTAGGATCATTGTTTACGTTTGCTAAATGTACATATCAAAGCTTCAAAGTAATGGCCTTGGTTCTGTAAATTACTGTCACGTTGTAGAAAACACTGAAAATGCTTCTTGGAGGTGACTGGAATCCAGTTAAACAGCTGTCCAGGCTGTCTTTCTACAGTTTATAGCTATTTAGTGCGTATGCTGTGTCTTAAAGATATAAATAAGCATTATGTAGAAAAAAACCCTCTAGAGTCCAGCCTGGTTGAAAGAAAAAAGGTACACAGTGAGGATAGAGAAAGCACTTCAAACAAATCCAGTGGAGGTGACGGGAAGCTTCTTTGCAGAGAGCACGGTCTGTGGGAAGTTGCAGCTATTAATAACAATTTCCCCAGGCATTCACACTTACTCTACTCCACCTTCACTTTCCTCCAGCTATTTTACCTGGGTTGAAATTGAGGGAGACTTAAATGCTGTCTGCAGATAACACAATCATCACAGCCACGGTCCTGGGCTGTGCATCACTGTATTAAACTGGGATTAACCTCTCTTTTCTCCCCTGCTGTTGTGCACCAAAATTCACATTTTTAACAACTGTGTTACAAAATGTAAAGGGGATTGGAAGTCAGTGGAAGTGTATCAACAGTAATGAGTAGTGAGTCAAAATCATCATGACAGTGATGTGTCACAGTCATTCGTGGGGTAAAAATTAAAAAATGCTGCTGGCATTTGCGTCAGTGTGAGGATCTGCTGCTTTTCTGTCTTTGACCTGCGGTAATAGTTGGCATGCTTAAATATAGCATTTTGAAGGCATCAGAGTGCACATGTAATTTATTTCATTTTAATTAAACAAAGAATTGTAAATATTACAATGAACATATAAAAAGTGTATTGAATTTTAAATATAAAACTAAAGGTTTCCAAACATCAGAAATAAATCCCATCACACTGATTCCAAATCTTTGTGGAGATAATATTTGTTGTCTTACGTAATGATCTAGATTACATCAAAGCATTACCACCGATCAGATGTATAGTTTATAATGATGTACTGTAAATAAAATTTTGTAAGATCCTTGATGAAATTTTGTTCATGGCATATGAATATAAAAAGTATTTTAATATAGTATGTTACATTAACACTTTATTGTACTGATATAAGAAGTGATATAAAAATCCAATATAACCAAAAGTCTTAATTTTTATAGCGAGTGATAAAATAAATTAATCACTAGTGAAAATGTAAAAAATCAGTGATGTGAGACCATGATGTTATAAACATCATCACGTAGCCCTCGACTAAACATTCCTAGGATGCACTGATTTTATAGCAAATCATTCCTCTGAAGGACAAAAGAATGCACAGACTTAGGAATCAGCTAACACTGTCCCTAAAGCTTTGAAAAGAATCAACATGTAGACATGCTAGTAGTCTGTGATTATGGATGCAGAGGTTGTTTTGCGTCATAATAACAGGGAAATTTTACTCCCTTACAAATGAGTTATAAGTATAAAAAAGGCACATATGTTCACAGAAGCTGGTTCCACTGTAATGCTGACTGTTGAAGCTGTGGTGGTATGCTGGCCTGAGGGAGACCTGAGGGCACGCTTCCTCTGCTCTGTTTCAGACTTTAACAGCAGAGGAAAAAGTAGGTGAGGAAGGTATGAAGCTGCTGGTGCAAAGTGAGGAGCTTAGAGGCTTTGATCCTCTGTTGCTTTTCATTATTTGTAGCATTTGTAGTGACACTGCCACAATGAGGGTTCATCACATTAGCTGAAGCCAACACTGCCTTCAGGCTTGCCTGTATAATAATTAAAGCCCATTTTCTATATGAGAGAGGATCTGTCCAGCCCTCTGTTTAGAGGGACGGCCTCTCTTCCTGGGATGTCTGAGTGAAATCATTGTGGTTATTTGGAAACAAATGACATCAAGTTTTCACATCTTGAATTAATAGCTGCTTTCCTTAAAACCAGAGAGAAATATTTAACATACATTTTAAAATTACAGTTGTCTCCCTCTCTCTCACCATGTGAAATGAAGGGAATCATAGTTGGATGAGGTTGTGGAGGTGGGCAGGGACAGCATTAGATCCCTGTGGGGAAACTGGGTCATTGGAGACGCACAGAGGAACAGGATAAAGCACAGTAACACAAGACACACAGCAAATAGGAAAAATCAGAAAGCAACATGGGAATGTTTTATTCGAATAGCCTTACTGTGTGAAAAGATCAAAACTGAAATATTTAAATCATATAAAAGACAGACATCAGAAAGTGAGTCAGTTAATGTAGAAATGTGTGACAGTAAGGTTTCAGATTAAAGCAGGTTCAGGGCTTGTTGTCAAGGATGAACAATGCTAAATATAAGTTGTTGCCCCAGGGAGAGCAGAGATTTCATTAGTGGCCGTTAGAGGTTTTTTAACAGTTGATAACAGAAGAAATAACTAAACAAGTTTGCATTTCCAGTCTTTGATAACATCTACTTTAAGCAAAATTTTCAGCAGTAAATCAGTAAAAGTTTCAGACTTCTCAGTTGTTTTAGTGATCATGTTTTCATTTACGTATGTGGAGGAATTTTCTGAGTTTTATTTTTCACATCCAATTTAAGGATTACATGTGAAAAGAAGACTGCAATTTGCAATAAAAGTGAAGACTATTTGTGGAGTGATGTGTTTTGGAGCATTGTATTGGTTGTTCAAATATGCCTTAAAAATAGGCACCGAGATATTTAACAAGAATATTTTCCACATAATTTGTTATGTTGCATATAATCAGTCTAATGCTCTGTATAACAGACGTTCAGATGTATCATGTGCCCAGAAATTAATTTTGTTTGTCGCAGCTTGCTTTGATGATGAATGATAATACTGAATTACTGCTGATGACAATGATAATGTGGATGAATCAAATTCAGTGACCAGCAGAAGGATCCACAGGTTCTACAGAACATCAGAGAAGAATACCTATTTTTACACCAGTTGATCTGCTAATATTTTCTTATTCCCATTTATGAGTATTGGTTCCATTTCTGTAGTCTCATCAAACAGAGACTGATTTCTTTCAGACATTTCAGTTACCACCAAGTTAGGTAGTTGATAAATTAATTTAATACTTTCAACATATGAAACATCTTAAAGGTTTACACCAAGAAAACATCACACTTGATTGTAATTGTTGGTACTTAGAGTGCAGCTAATTGTATGATTTCTTTTCCTTTTCAACAACTATAAGCATGTTTGCCGGCTTGACTTTCCTTTATTTCTGCCGAACTGGGGACTTCTCAATGTTGTCTTTGAGAAAACAAATATATATAAAGGGGAGCTGCTGAACTGGGAGAGGGCTTTGAATAGGAGAATAGCAGCCCACTTCTTAGCCGTGGAGTGTTTAGTAGCCATCCCTTAATCCTTCTTTCATTTGCCGACAAATGCCAAGGATCTTGTCTGGCAACCCAATAGGAAGCTGATCAGCCAACAAAAGAGGAATGGTCCACAAAGAGCAAGCAGGCAAAACTGGGATGAGGGCAGTCAGAAGCCTATGGCATCCCATTAACAACCCATTTGTAAAGGATATACACAGTGCAAATGCAAAGAGAGCAATATAATATTTGCACAAACAATATTATAACAAAATCATGCAATATTAACACTTTGGTCAGTCTGAAACCTTAAAGAAATATTATACCTCGGCTGTATAGTTCTAGTCTAATTCTGAAT